GCACATGCAGTCTTTCAGCTCTAACCACTGTATCAAAAAAGAAGAGATTTGGAATGTTCATTTACATTGTTCATCAATTTTTTGGGGGGTTGTTGTGGCAGCAGCATTAAAAGCCAAACTCACTCACCAGCCTGGGCAAACTCTGGACCACGAGGTGAGACACAGCCTCGCCCTCCTACCACAGCCTGATGAAGTCACACATCTCTGTAGATTAACAAACCAACAGATAAAAGAAGCCTTCTAGAGTACCTGCTGCTGGAAACCTTTGCTCTTTGGGTTGCAGTTGTTCAGACTAAGTCTCTCCCTGCCCACGGGCAGACCTTGTGAAGAGCTGTGTGACCTCGTTGGTCACCTTCTACCACAGTGCTGCCATCTGTGAAATAACTGGCACCTGCTCAAGTCACGGCTGTTTTCATAGTACTGGTCTTCTCTCCCCTCCAAACTCCTTCTTCAAACTGGAGTCTCCTTGTGATGCCTCCCAGCCCCTTTTGTAAGGTTGCAAAGGCACAACTGCCCCTGCTCATTTTAAAACACCTCTAAGCAGTCGATTTTCCTTTTGCTGGGAAAAAAGCCCTGACTACTGCTGAAAGAGAGCTGTTAAGGGAAGGGCCAGGCCAATTCTTAGTGTGCAAAATGCAGCAGAAGGCACGCAGAAGAGAGGAGATGGAGGAGTTACAAGGCTGATGGTTCACAGAAGACTGACTGACCTTGCAGCCACCCTTCTAAAGGGGATCCTGCCCCTCTTCGACATGCCTTTTCTACCCCACTCCCAGCAGTGCCACTGGTACTCATCAAATCCTGATGACCTGGTTTGGTGAGATAAAACCACTGAGAATTTTTTTTTCCCTTCTGCTGTTGCTAAAAGCTGAGTTTTCTATCAGTTTAACTCCTCAACTCCATCCCACTTAAACTGCTAGGTGACCGCCAGTCTCCGTTCAAGGGAAGCAAGAGCAGTGCGCAGCCAGGGGAACAGGGATGCTCTTTTTTTGGCAGCTAACAGCCCAAATTAGCTGTGATGTCAAACCACACCCTCAGGTCTCTGATGGCTAGGGAGAATAAAGAATGTGGTAGAGAGGGCAAAGAAGAGACAGGAAAAGCGTGAAATCAAAACAGACCAAGGATAAAGAGAATACGCATACTAGATGCAAAGTAGGGGCTGGACTGTGAGTGCTGATCGTGGGAACAGATGGAGAGATAGAGCAATGACACCCATTACACTCAAAATCATATGAGTGAGAGAGGGGGAGAGGGGAGGGCAGGGACAGAGTATGGGGGGAGAGATGGAATTTGCCAGACGGGAAGAAGATTTTGAGAAAATAGTGATTTAAGAAAAACTGGAATCGGAACTTACTGTTCCCTGGAAAAGCACCGTCTAGTTGTACCGGTGCAGTTAGAAAAGAACCAGCCTTTGAAAAACAGCTCAAGACTTTCAATGTTTGACACTTGCAGGGATCACCTGCCCTTTGTACATTGCGTAGTCACACAAAAAGTTTGTACAACAAGGTACAGCATACCATCAGCTTTGGCCAGCCCAACGTTTGTCTTCTCTAAAAAGTATCCACTAGAGCTATAACACTGCACAGAATAAACTAGAGCCAAATCAAATAAAATATTCTTCCAGGTCTGTAGAGGATCGAGATGCAAACAAAAAGACTTTGATACTTCCGTGGCTCTCCACTGGCACAGGAACCAGAAAGGAATATTCATCAGATCTGACTATAAACGTTTGTCTTGTGTGGGAGGTCTTACTATAGTAATATGTATTAGAAACTTGATATTTTTCCAATCAAGCCTTTCCACTTCTATTTACATATATTTAATTGTAAATATTCATTTTCCTACCCGAAGTATTTTAAATAAACGTACAATAAACACATTCTGCACAGAAGGGGAGCGAATACCTTACGGGACTTGTGTTCCAGCCTCCACATCGCTGGTCAGGAGCAATGCAAGATGATGCCTCCTCACGGACTGTGGGGGGTCTCATGGACCGGGTTGGTGATCTCACACACATTTCTCCTGAACCAGGATCCTCCCCCACACCCAATCAATCATAATTGACACAAACTGCTACCTGTGCCAGCAGAGAAGGCGATGGCTGGCAAGAAGATGCCCTCTCACACATAGGAATGGATTTCTTCAAAGCACAATCAGCTTCAGTTTGCAGTTGTGTCAATATGCACTTACCTTTTCCAAGCACCAAAATGCACGGGCAATAGAATGACTATGCTCGGTGTCTGTGACTTTACTTAAAACAGAACCCCGTAATGCAGATGCTCACCCCTGAGACGCTGCCATCTGACCTCAACTACACTGTGTTGTTCACCGTGGTCAGCAGCGGCAGCGCTGCCTTCAGGGGGAACATGCTTCAGCCCCTTGCTGCGGCGAGGCTGCAGGGAGCCAGAATTCCCCGGGTACAAACCCACACCACTTGCACCCCAGGGCTACGGGCGCAGCGCCTGTGTCCGCTGCTGTCGCCTAACGCAGAGCTGCCGCAGGGTGCACCGTCCCTTCCTCAGACGTGTGCTCACCTAACGCAGAGCTGCCGCAGGGTGCACCGTCCCTTCCTCAGATGTGTGCTCACCTAACGCAGAGCTGCCGCAGGGTGCACCGTCCCTTCCTCAGACGTGTGCTCACCTAACGCAGAGCTGCCGCAGGGTGCACCGTCCCTTCCTCAGACGTACCCGAGAGCACCAGCGTGTGACAGAAAACCTTTTTTTTTTTTTTTTTGTGATGGAAAGCACGTTTTAGAAAAAGAGAAAGAAAAAGTTTCCCAGTGAGGATGCGGTGATCAAAGACAACTGAAAGAAGGCTGGAAGAGCTATTCTTTCATGACAAGGTTATGAAACCAAATTGATAAAATGGGTAACTGTGTGAGTAAGCATGAAAAAAACCAAGGTGTTCCCAGTTGGTCTCACAGAAGATGGAGAGTTTGGATGAAGAGCCAGGCTTTCACATACTCAAACCACTCTCCGGGCGTGATCCAGAGGCAGTAAGCTTCAAGCTAGCCTAGAGGTAAGTATGAAGCTTTTGAAATCAGTCATACTTGAAGACTCCCCCCAGAGATATCCTGTACCAAATTAACTGACATCTTGAGTATTACTGCAGTCAGACCGACCTACTGCTGCGGTAGGCATTAGTGATTTAGTAACAAAGTTGGTGAGTGCTGGTTATAAAAGAATGCTAAAAGACCTGGGCAGAAATGTATGTCCTTTGTAACGCCTGCCATGAGAAAGTGATACTTAATTGCTACAGTTACCTTAATAGCAAAATTAAAATTTTATTTTCAAATTGTTGGATTCGATGCCAAACTAAGAGAGGATAATGTTACCTGTTGACTTATGGGGCAATCTGGAAAAGATTAAGAGACAACAACTTACGCTTCATATTTACACTCAGATTAACTAGGAATTAATTTTATGAATTGTCGTGGGGTATATTTATAAGGTGAAATTAAGATACCATTTACCTTAATACTGACAGATTGAAGTCAGAGGGACTACAGGAAGTAAGAAAATACTTCTGGAGAATAAAACAGAGTGCCTCTTCTGAAAGTCATATATGTTTTTTTTCCACATAGATTAAAACCTTTATGATGATGGATCATAAACTGTAAACTAGTTCTTGCGTCTATCAGAAAATTCTATTTTATGTGTGAATTTCATGTCTTATACATGAGGACAGATAGAACTCTTCTACCACATTACTGGAGCCTTATCAAAAACAGGATGCTTTTTTCTTGAGAAGATGAAAAGTAAAGAGATAAGCAGGGAAATAAAGACTGAAGTTTTAACCAATAATATTTTTGTGTGGTTATCAGAGGAATGTAATAATTAATCTTTTAATCATTCTGAAGATTGTGTGAAATCATAATATCTCATCTTTTCCAGCCTCAACCTGCCATTCTTGATCTGAATTACAAACAATAAGAAAGGAGATGATTTAATGAGCAACTTTGTCATGTTGCCATTTTGCCTTAGTCAAAGGCAAATGTCTCGTTTTGCCTCTAAACTAAAATGGAATAGACTTGGGTTTCAACTGTGCTCGCAACTGAGGCAAATGTGAACGGAAAAGTTAGGGCTATTTTAAAGCTGGCACCCCGCTGTCTCCACATTTTCACAGAGACATAATTAAATAAACACTGCTAAGAAAGACCAAACGTTTGTTTACTAGAAAATCCATGTTGTGAAGCAATACACATGTATGAAAAGAAGTCTAAAATGTGAGCAATACAAAAATAAATCCAAAAAGAAAGATTTCAGTCTCAGTGGCAATAGGTATGTTCTTATTATGAAGGGGAAAAAAAATGTCAGCATGATTTAATCATACTCAATAAATAGGCACTTCAATAAAGTATATATTTACACTGGCTTTCGGAATGCTAGGGCATCACAAAGTAGTATGGCTTTATTACAATGGATGGAAGATGGCAACTACTTAGAACCCAGTGCCAACATGGATTATAACAAATCCAGTGAGTATTTTGTTTTTCAATTATTCATAGAAAATTTAATCCTGATTAAGTATCCTTGGGCAGGAATTCATGGGTAGTTGATGACTGAAACCAACATTTATTTGAAATGCTTCTGTTAATTTAATCTGTGTATATGGCTTAATTATGATTGAATCCTCAATGTAACAGAAATGAATTATATCAGGATTAAAATTCTAGTACCACATCACCCATTCCATTTTCTTTGCCCTTTTTTTTTTTTCTTTAAAAGATGCAAGCCTGCTCTTTTAATTACCTTTATGTTGCTATGTTTTCTAAGCCTCAAATACTGTTTAGACCTTCATTACTGGATGAAATTTTTATTTACATTTATTTCAAGAAAAAGGGAGATATAAACCCCATTTTCATTCCCATTAAAATTTTAACCAGTATGAACATCAGCTGCAAAAAAGGCTTTTCCTTTACACCAATAATAAAGGAAAGTTTCTTGCAGTCAGTTGCAAACATTTTACATGAGTTTTCTAGAGGAGTTTCCTTCTTTTGTTTCCCCTTCTTTTATACTTACACATAAAATGCATTTTCTCTAAAGCATGAAAATAAAAGAACTTGCACTCATCATTACGCATCACACCAATTTCACAACTGGCCTATTTCAGACTTGTTTGAGCTTGTAGATGTTTTAAGAACTGCATTTTATAAGACCTTCAAACCTAGTATTGATATAAAGTAGGGATATTTTTTGTGGCTGTGAATGGAAGAGAAAAGACTCATCGTACTTTTCTGTGATACAGCTCAGCACCACATGCTACACATAAATTATATTTATAAAATTATTCAAATTATGTATCTTTCCACTTCACAATACTTTTAACAGAATTATCTAGGGACCTTGTCAGACCAAAGGTCTGTGAAGTGCTCTGATATTATCACTCAGTTTTCCAGTGAAACCAACGTATCACACACCCGTGACAAAAATACCTATATATTTAGGTCATTATTGCACATTTATTACATAACATATTCTTCCTAAACATCTCAGAAGTGATGTCGATTTTTATGTCCAGAGGATACTGTTAGTGGCAATGTCACTGATGACAGTGAAGATACTTCCCAATATAGACTATGAGATAGAAAAAGTCTGTAGAGGATAACCATGGAGATGCACTGACAGAGGATAACACCTATGGTAATAATCTAGAGAAAAGAAAAAAAAAAAGAGAGAAAAGGAAAAAGTAAGTGAAAAAACCCAAATAAATTCCTATCAGCATACTGTGTAAGTGCTTGAGGTTAAACTTTAAACCTTTTAATACTGCTGCAGTTACAAAAGATTTGAACATGAATCTCAAGTCCAGGATTCAAGACTCTCACACCTGGGTGTTTTTAAATCAGCAGATAGCCCTGGGCAAGTCACATAACCCTTCTGGCGGTCTCTGTTCTGGGGAATTTCAGACTTGCAATTCACCACCCATGCAGTTTCACAAGCAGAGGTGATGTTTAGATATTCTATTCTTACAACAAACAGAGGGGGGTGGGTGGGGGAAGGAAGCCTGAAAACATTTTGCACTAGCACAATCACGGAGCTGTGAGGATAGTGATTTATCAGCCTCACTCAGCCAAATCTCTTTTCAGTGCAAGTCTCTTCATCTGTAAAAGATGCATAAGGCAGTATTTATCAAACACATAAAGGTAAGTACTGTTTCTGAGAAAGCAAAAGTCCCACTTTATGTACAAGAGAGTCTTTTAAAATAGAAGTTTTTTTCTTAAATAAAAATGGTATTTATTCATCATGCATTTATAAATTAACATAATGTAAGAACTGCAGCTGCACACAATCGTTAAACTTGACCAAATGCAAGAGGAGAGCAACTGTAATCTCCATTCAGTAAGCTAAAAATCTTAAAATATTGCCAAAATTTCCTCTACTGACCCTATCTCTAGAGATTGTCACCATGCCCTGATGATGTTCTCATCAAGCAACAACAACAAAAAATCTCTTCACTAGTAGCTCTAAAGGAGTCTTTTTTCTCCCTAGATTTCTTTTCTTTTTTTTTTCCTTAAAAAAAAAACACCAAAAAAATCAAACATGGTATTTCATTTACTCTATCTTTTTAGTGGAATCTTTTTCTTACCCTCTACACTAATAAAAGTTCACTTCCTGAAAATAGATAGTTCTAACCATAAAGAAAAGAAGCAAACTCTACCTTGGAATGAGGTAGTCAATCACCTGAGAATAGCAGTGCACTTTATCTGAACAGGGAAGGCTCCACACACTAGTTCTCTAGTTCCCAATACGTTTAAGCAACTGAGAAACCCAGTGAGTCCACCTCTGTTTTTAACAGTTTAGAGCTTCCAAACCAAACTACATACTTGGGCAGAATTCTCAATCTAAAGAATACAGTTCAGCTACAGGTTCCATGACCTATTTAGCCACATAAAGCTTTTAAAGGATGAAGACTAAAAAGCAAACAACAACAAAAATCCACCGATTTATCTTTCTACTAGCTTTGTTAAAAGAATCCTCAAGGTGTTTTTAATTAAAAAACAAACAAGCAAACAATAAAACAAAACACCCCCTCCACATTTTCCTTTGACTTAACAACCCCCCCCTCCCCACCCTTAACCTAGGAATGATTACCCTTAGATGATTCAAGCCCTGTATGCCTTTGTAAAATATGACTCACATTAGCATCAATGAGAGCCGTGTGACTAAGACTTTTCAAGTTGCTTTGGGGTCATAAGATTAACAGCCTAAGAGCATGAGTTTGCTAACAAACACTGAACATGAAGAACAACTACTATTCAAATTCTATCTCTTTTATCTTGCCTGTACATACCTTTTCTCTTTGATATTCTCTGAATATTACAGAAATGGTTGCAAGACATGGGTGGCACAAAAACCAGAGAACGCAGGCCTGAAAGAGAAGATGAGTATAAGTTATAAAATTACTACATGCCAGTTTAGAAGAAAGAGATGACAGTTAGAGGAACTGCATTTACATTTCTGTCTATTTTATGAACCCATTGTTTAATTTTCAATCAACAGAACGAAAACCACACAATGAAAGGTGGGATTTCTGTTTAAAAAAGCTCTACACTCCTTGTCAAATTAAAATGACTACTCAGAGCATGATGACAGGGTGCAATTTAATCAAATCAGACACTTAAACATTAGCTTTCTTATGGAGGAAAAGAGTTTAGTGCTTCAGTCTACTGCATGCCACAATTACATTTACGGCAGAAGGGATTAGCTTCCCTGATGTAACCCATACTTTGGCAAAGGTGATATAGAACTCCCTTTTCAGCGTGCTTCTCTCCACTGTGATGATCTGGTAAAGACCAGCAGCCAGTGACAAAGCTAGGCAAACTCTCAGGCCAATAAGCAGTCCGCTTGCTAAGCCATGGTGTGAATGGTAGCTGTGGTGATTTGTATCTTCAAACTGCTCCCAAATTAATAAAAAGCCCTGGAAAGGAACAACAGCAAAGCACATTTAGAATAAACCTCAATTAATCTCCCCATCACAGACTAAACTATCTGCACAACTGGTCATGCTCTGCTCTGCTCATGCAGTTGAGGACTGCCATGTTATACACAAAACCCCCAGCCTGAACTGCTTTTTGGCACTACCTCCGACTCCAAGTGCAACTGGCAGGAACAGAGTCTCCCTTCTTGCATTCTGCAATGTTTGGAAAGTCTGACAAGTTAAAAGTTTCCTCTAATTTGGATAGAAGGAATGTGGCACCTTAGCATAAGATCCAAAATAATCTCCTAGTTAAACAGTCGGCCTACTCAGGAAGCCCACTGAAACGATTCCACAGAGCTACAGGGAGGTGGCTCCTTCCATTTGGGATCCACAACCTGTAAAGCTTGTTTCAAAGGCAGGCGACTACGCCTTTTCTTTCAAAATCCTAACAGGATTCACTTTTCTTTTTAAAGATGGGGAAGTAGGAGGGTGGTGCTGCTGCTGCCCCTTTTATACAATAGCCTAAAGGCTCAAGCATTCACCCAGGTTGAACCTGGATCTCCCACAATTCCCTTCATTGCCTAAAGGATATCCAACTTGCATCTCCCACCTCCTTGGAGAGTGCCCCAGCTGCCAGGCTATGGGCTGTTCTTGGGTGGGCCACTCTCCACCCCTTCTATTGAAACTGTGCCATTGTGGAGAAAAGAATTCAACATCAGCTAGGTCAGAAACAGCAAAGAGCCTGACTCTGCAAGCAACCAGCTTGGAAACCTCCTAAGGTCTAGGAAAGGGAGCACCACAGGTTCCAAATGCCGTTCCAACACCTGGACAAATGCTCTAGCCAACAGATAACTACAGGAAAGATCAGCATCCTCCTTAACTCTCAGCACTGTATCCATTTGCTGCAGAATTCAATTTTGTAGGAGCACTGTGAGAAAGAATATTGATAGATTCTCTAAGGAAAAACAGACTAAGAAGTGCCTGGTTTCTGAATCTTAGCTGGACAGAAGGGAGGCGCCTACTTGTTGCATAAAAATTGGGTCTCGTTAAAGAAAACCTTTTCAAGACTTTGGGAATGTTAACGTTATAAATTAGACTACCCATAAAGTTTAGACTCTCCTAGCATCATGTAGCAGCTGAATGGCATTTTAAGACTTGAATATACAGTGGAATCCAGTCCACCTACTGCACACATCTAACTTGCACTTAGGTTTTCAGGTGTCTAATGAAGCAGGCTTTCTGAAGAAAGGTAGGCAAATTTGATTTACATGAGTGAGGTAGCTCTGAAGGCCTTCAGAAGCAGACATTGTACGCCTCAATTTAGAAACCTAAATTAGTCAGATTCCTTTCTGAACACATTCAAAGGCTCTCTCACTACATCAACTACATAAAGACAAAAAGGTTACTGAAATTAACTTTTTATTTTTTAAAACGTGTACTCCACCTGTGCCTTCCAAAGACGGGTGTTCTGGTGTCTCATCAGTCGAGACAGCATCATTTTCGCTTAGGATATCCTTAGAGAGTACTCTCTTGCTTTTCCCCTCCCTTACCTAGGCCATGACACAGCAAGCCTGCCGGCTGTCATTTCAGGCACAGCTCAACTATCTGGATGGCAAATGGAAGGATGGGAGAGGGGCAGATGTGAAGCATGCATGTCTTGAACATCACTGATTACGAGTAAACAATCTGACCAATATGCTTCAAATATTCCCACCATAACACTCAATTTCTGGGTAACTCCAAACAAACGTCTTCAAATGACCAAATTACTTAACTGAGGATTCTGTCAAGGAATAAGACCGAAATAAGACAGTGTTTGGTTAAGCTGTATCTATAGCACTAGTTTTGTCATGACATTGATGAATTCCCATCACAGAAGTTACTTCAGTCCAGCTAGAATGTGCCCAGGCAACAAACAAGGTTTTCCACCAGTAACAAAATCACTACAGTTTTGTACAGAGTATTTTCCTTTTTAACATTTACACTTGGGAATAGCCAAAGTATTTAACTCCCCTTGAATGGACATACACTGCCTGAGAAAATAAAAAAAACAACAACAACCCTCCACCTACGTAGAGCATCTTCCTGACAAAAGCATGCATCTTGGGGGAAGAAATGCAGGCTGATGGAGATGCAACTGTGATGCTGCTTTAAGAGTAAACTTTAGGCGGATCCCAGGGATAGCTCAACCTTAAAGAACAGAGCTCATGAGGATTTGAATTTTCCTTAACCTACACCAATAGCAACAGCAATGAAGGAAGCCACTTTCATGAGAAGATGACAAAGAGCTGGAATAAAGGAGTAACGAGAACAAAGTTCAAATCCTCATGAGAAAAGAGTGTGTGACAGCAAGGTACGCTCTGGACTAGCCCTTTAAAGAGTGCAAACTGTGTAAACAACACAGGAATCAGATAATCAAAGACTGTGTGTAGTGACAGCAATGTAAGATCACAGAAGTCCAGCTGCCTTCAATTTCATTAGATTATTCCAAAATAAGCAGAAAGCAGAGGCATTAGAGGCAGAGATGAAGCCATCAGTGCAACAAACTGGCAACTCAGACAAGGTGAATACGTGTCCTTGCTCTCACTAGGAGCTGGGACGGTCCCCACTCAGCAGAGAAAAGCAGGATCCTAAAAAAGAGAAATGGAGAGTCTCTAGGTTACAATGGATTAGACATCTGTTTGCCATAGAGGAAGAGCTTTCACAGACAAGCGTGATCCTGATGTCAAAATCTCTTTGGCTGGCTATGCCTCAGAAATTAAGGTAAATGAGCCCTGAAGTCCCTTACACCTTGACCACAGAAAGGCATATGTTATCTCACTTAGCTGCAATATCAGGAACAAACTGAAAAAAGGGGATACCAGAGACAATTTTTGTTGGCCGTGAGCAGAACTATGAGCTCTGAGAATAAAGCTGGGGGAAATCCTTACTTTTATCCAGAAGAACAACTCTGCCTAGGCTGTAGACAAAAGAACTGGATGACCTAGGTAGCTGAAGAGCTGACTTGCACTAGCTACGTCCAACATTAGAGTCACAACTGTTTCTTCGTAAAATAAAGGAGAATGACCACCTCTTTGTTTACATAATACACTGTTGAAAAGGCCTGACTTCACCTGCACATACTTCTGACCTATCTTGGTTCACAGTGGACCCCAACCACTGTCCAGTACCGATCTTCCTCTTCAAATGCTAGAAGAGTGTTTGCCACGGACATCATCCTGATATTCCAGATATACAAGCTGAACCTCCACATCCATACAATCTTTTTTGTCATGAGGAAACGATTACGGTAGAACCCCTCCTCCCCTTCGGTATGCCAACACTGACTTTATGACAAGCCAAGATAACATATCAATCTCCAGTAAAGGCAGGTTCTCATGGGACAGATCATCTCTGAGAGGCAATGGGAAGGGGGAAGCAAAAGGGAAATTAAACGTAGCAGCAAGGCAAAGTGGATTAACTAGCTGCTTCTAACCAAGTCTAGTATTTGGGTATCTGATGTCATGCAATGCCAGTACAGTAAAAAATGGTTTAGACCTAAGGTCAGAGGCAAAGCCTATTCTGAGCACACCTTTGGGGTGTACCTAAGAACCCCTGTGAAGTGTGACATCTAATGCAGGAAGATTCTATGGCATTTTGGTCAGGTTCAAAATGATCTGCTATCTTTCTAGAATCATTGCTTCCACTCCGATCAGCCCTGGAAGCTGAAGTTGCTCAGGTCTATGTGATGGGAAAGGCCTACCATCAGTAAAGTTCTGAACAAGGTTTGTGTCTCAGCAGCGGAGTGTGGAATCTTTAATGAATACAGAGCAGCCTGGGAATCTTTTGTTCTGAGGCTGAAATAAAGAACAAGTTAAGGCAAAGGGAGATGCTGAATGGCAGACTTGTCCCTCATTTGAGATGCTACCTCTTTGCAGCCACAAAGACCACAAGAGATTTGCTGACAGTGGAGGCTGTGTCCACCCTACACTGATGGTAACTTGTAAACACAGCCCAGAAAATTGCTGGTGTAACTGAAAGAACAAAAAGAAAGAATCCGTAGCATCAGTACAAAGAGGAGGAAAAACCCTGAAAATTTGCTGAGTAATTTGAACTAGTAGCAGGCAAACAGGGTCAGGTAGTTTGCCAGTCAAAACTGCAGCTGAAGAATAAGGCGTTTTCCCAGGCTGTCCACTTGCTTGACTTCCCTGAAGATGAGGCCAGGTAGTATAGAATGTCAATAACACTAACATGGTTCAATCTCTGTCTGCTGCATTAGGGTAATGCATGGGGTTTCCAGCACCCTCCACAGCAAGACCTCAGAACATCTCTGATTATCCATGCAAGTCTGTTCAACCTCTGGCATGGGAGGAAGTTGGCTCTCCCCTAAGAATCTCTGGGAAAGAGCAGGACAGAAAGGAGGTTATTCTAAGTTTTTTATCACTAGAAGTGTTCACTGATTGTCCTGTTACAGCAGGTCCAACATCCATGTCAATCTAGATAGACCATCGAACAACAGACTAATCCAGAGAATGAAGTCTTGAGCTCACCACCTTTGACAGAGGTGATGCGGTCCAGATCCTGCTCCCCTGAGCTCAACTGCCACATTCTGCATTAAGGAGAAATCTGGTAGAAGGAATATTTTGTATGTACTGAACCATGAAATGGAAAACATCCTTTCCAGAAGGGGCAAGGATACTCTTGGTGTCAGGGAATTTTTGCTGGAGACAGCAGACACTGAGATGGGGGTGCAAAACCACCCAGGCAATGAAATATTCTGATATCCATATTCTGTTCCTACAAAACTCCTGCTAAAGCTGACATTCCCAATGGTACAAGGAGGAGAGATGTGGTAGAGCTGTGCCTTTGTGGTGAAAAGAAGGATAGCCAACTTTGTGGCAACACTCCAGTGGTGCTCAAAGAGACAACACTAACGTGTAATGGACCAGTACTGGGGGAAGCAGCATATATGTATGATACCTGCCCCAATTTTTACCACAAGTAACAACCAAAAAAAGATCAAGGTGATGATACTGAGTGTCCTTTTGATGCAGGGCAAAAAGGAAAACAACAACAAAAAACTTTCCAGTCTCAAGTGACAGAGTACTAACACACCCACATGTGTGTACAGGTGGAGAGGCATGAATAGAATTAAATACTTTAGAAGTCTTCTCTACTACCAGCACGTAAAATTTCTAGTGCTAGGTAGGTATCAAAGTCAGGTGGAATGAACCTATCTTTAAATTTCAACAGTCCCATTGACCTTAATAGTCTTTGGTTTATATTCTTAATTAGCAAGAAATGTCAGCTCCCAGCTTCTCTTAATGTCTTAGCAGTCCACTTATTTAGTTTGGAAGCAGCACTAATTACAGATACTACTCAAATGGCACAAAATATTCAGTATAATCTCTTCCTCATTACTGTCTCCAGCTTCTCCCTGCTCTTCTCTTTCTCAATGGCTTTCAGATTCTCTTGTCTTTACGCTGTGATTTAAAAAAATTTGTTTACAAAAGGTACCAGGAGGATTGGATGATCTCCATTACAATTTACTTTTAAGTTACTGGTTTACTTGACTTTCTAATTTATACTAATGGAAAATATTTGAATGAAATTATGTGTCAGACCATTTGTATATTTGCAAGACCAATTCTGCACACTAACTTTTCAATAATTCCCTTATATTAATTGAAAAGACCATCAGACATCCTATTTGAGTGGTTCTAAGAGGAGGACACTGAGGATTTAAATTTTTTTTGGTGACAGAATTTCTCACAGCAGCTTTTCTCATCTTTCATGCTGCTTGTTGTCACCCCCCACAATGTAGTTCACAACCTCTCAGTTGTACTGATTACAACTATTTACAGGACCACATTATAAATCAGATCAGTAAAATGACTGTGCTGAAAAAAAAAAATTATTATTATTTTTTTTTTTTTTCAATCTAGATCATTCCACTGATCTGGTTTACAGCATAATGCTGCCAACAATTGGCACAACCAGGAGTTTGGAAAACTGTGGGAACTTCTTAAGTGGTTTTAGTGCTGAACAAAAACGTACTGTGGAGCTACACCTTAAATTGTTAAAGTAAAGAGAAGGTGTTGTTACCTATTAGACATACTGGGTGCACATTATGCTGTGGGGTTTTCTTCTAGTCTTGATACTCCCTCCCTCATAAAATATTGAAATTAGTTGGTTCACAGTTCTGTCATACTTAATAGCCGCTGTATATTTCAGTATAAATAAGAATATAAAATACAGACCTGTGTAATGACAACTACTACAGCAATGCCAGTAGATGTTGGAGTAGAATCCCACTGAAGAGGTCTGCCATGAGATTTCTTCATTCTGCCTATTGTCCAACCCATACACAGACTCAACAATAAATATAGCATTTGTATCTGTGACACTATGTCACACACTATTGAAAACAAAAAGAAAAATAAATAATCACAAAAAAATATTGTTTTTCTAAAGCAAAGAGAAATGTTCTATATACCCACAAATGAAGGATGGACATTTGCGCCTCTGTATCACCTTTAGTCATAATTTTGATGGCAGTGTGACTAGCTGAGGTTGCTCTGCCATGTGGGTATTTTGAGTAGTTTCCAGTGACCAAGCTGATCAGTATCAGCTTTCCTCTAGTTCTGCTGCAGTCCTGCAACAACATGGGCACAACGCCACATCCTTCCAAATCCCACTCTTGTATCAAAGAAGTCTGGGTTTAGGAGTCCATCTGCATAAACAGACTTACAAATGCTAAAGAACTAAAATCATATGTATGTTAATCACACTGCAAATACGAAACATGATGAAATGAACTTCTTTCTTTGCTCTGAAAAACTTTTGTTAAAAAATGAGATAGCCGCATTGTACTTTAAATTAATTGCACTTTGTCTTTGTAGCTTGCAACAGAAAGCACGAATATTTAGGACAAATTCCACTCTCAGATACTTAAAGGGGAAAATATAATGAATAACCCTAACACAAACTTCATCTGGAGCAGCAACTTGCCTGTATTTCATTTCATTAAATGCAAACTACCTCTGCCTCATTTTGCTATGTCTATTTTCTTTTGCTGTTTAAGAACAATTAACACATACTCCACAGAGTTACATTCTTAATCAGTGTCTCAAACCTACGTTTGAGGCTGTATCTGAATAAAGAAAACTTCAAGCTAGAATATATGAAAGCCTTGTTAGCCTTTCTGAAGTGCTAGGGACAGCAGAAAGAACTGAAGATTTCTTTCTGGGTGCTTGTGAGCTTTAGACCTCATAAGTTTTTGACTGAAACTCACTGAACAATTTTTAACTTGGTGTTTGGACTGGTGTAGCAGAGATACACAAGAGAAATTGATTCTTATATTATGCAAATTGAAAATTTGATTCAGAAACGAGAGATTAGGCACTACACACAGCAATGCTTTCTTTTTCACTTCATTAATATTTTAGTTCAATTAAATTTGTTCCTTATTTGTAATTTTCACTTACACTATCAGGTACAAGAAAAATATTTATATGACACAAAAGCAAACTCCTGTTTTTATACAACTGAACTGTACTATAAAAAATAAATGTACTTCCACCTTTACTAAAAATATTGGCACAGAAGATGTTGCCACTGTACAGAGATTAACATGCACACAAGGGAAGTGTATCAAATTAAGATCAGCTACAATATTTCCCTGACACTCAGCAGTACTAGCAAAATATGGCTATAAGCCAGACTTCAACATGTTATTCCTGGGATATATTTGGTATTCTCACAGTTTATATGCTGAAATGCTTCTTAATGTATTTAGACACCTTCTCTGTTTAAGAAATGTCAAGAGCCTTTAGTAAATTCAAACTTGCTCGTTCTTTAATAAAATGAACTGGCACTGATTTGGGGCAAAATTATCTTGAAATTATTTTACAATGTCTCCTAGCTATGGAGACATAGTACTTGCTAGAAAAAAATGCTATGTGAACTGAAGGCATGCCAAACCAGTGTCACAAACCCAAGCTTGAGAAGTGACTGAACAAATCCGGATGTTCTAGAGAGCATTTTATTTTCTGTCACTCTTTAAGATAACTTGCCCTGTAAGTTACAGTCAGACATCACCTCTCAATCACGCCTTGGATATAGATATTGCTCTGCTTCAGTGTGGCAACAATTCAAGTTGATTCCCAGAAAAAACGGTGTAAGACAAAAATTCAGTACTGGCTTTAATCTTTGACATCTCATACATCTTGCCAAGAAGTACGAAGGCTGAGAGAAATTTCAAGCATTACAATAATCCCACGATATCCAGGGTCAGTGTAAAGTCACATGCTACTGAGCTGATACCACAATTTGTCTGATTTCATCACAATTAATCTTTTTTGGCTGTTCAACAGGCACAATAATATTATTTGACTTTTCACATTTCGATCTTATCAAAAGTTACAAGATGCTTTCGAGTGCCAGCATTATTTGTGCGATTATGAGATTAATTTAGGAGATGGATTAGACTGGGGGTCAGGTCTTTATACATAGTAAAGACTAAATGATGGCAGGAAAAGAGCAATTGCTTGGGATGGTAGAAAGAAATTCTAGGTTTCTAGAAAGAAATTCTGGCCCTGCTGAAGTCAACAGAAATTTACTTTTCACTTAGATTTCTCTTCTCATATGAAGGAAAAATGGCAGCACTTTCCATCTTCAAATGATACTACTTGCTATCAGCCATTCTTCAGAATGGCAATTAACACTGAAGCTTTCCACATTTCTATTATTTCTGCTCTTTTACTGTTTTGGGAACCATAAATCTTAAAAACAGCAGGAAAGGAAAACTCTGTTAGCTGAACTTCTTAAATTCAGCTATCGATTAAAAAAATAGCATTTTATTCTTAATAACCTTTGCTTTAAGCAAATAAAAGTGGGCTCTTCACCAGAATACACAGAAAATCGAACACGCAGCTGTGAAGCTCTGGCTGGGTAGTTAACACTGGGTTTCTCACTGTGGAGGAGTTAGGAATACTTCCATATTCTCTATTTAATTTAATTTCAGGAGACAAGAGGGAAAGTTTAATAACACAGTTGCTGGAGAGGCTGCAAGGAGCTGCTAACTCAAATGGTTAAAATAAGACAGGCAATTACTGTGGTGCCAAGTGCCATCAAGAGGCTGTCAATTCCAACTGCAAGCTTCCAAATGAACTCTAGGAAGGGAAATATTTTTCTACACTGGCTGTTACTCTCCAACACTCTCTCACTACCACAGTACTATTTTCTTGCGGTGCTTCAAGCCAGTCAAAAGGTAATATATTTGCTTAGAAAGAACCCCCCAATGCTTCAAATGTGAACTACAGAAAAAAAACCCTAACAATGTTTAACTTGAAGAATCCAGGAGGAGTGAATTAGTGCATTTTGGGAAGGGATGTTATAGAAATTCAGTTCCAGTGAGAACTCAGAATATTTATACAGAGTGGAGAAAAATGCTTTGTTAACATCAATTTTTTAAATAAGCATTTTTTGCATTACTCTAATCATATTGCTTGTACTGTGAAACACTTACTTTTTCATTATAATCGATATCTCCTTCTCTGGAGACATTCAAGACCCGCCTGGATGCCTTCCTGTGTGATCTCATTTAGGTCCCTGCTCTGGCAGGGGGACTGGACTAGATGGTCTTTTGAGGTCCCTTCCAATCCCTAACATTCTGTGATTCTGTGATGTTAAATTTGCTAGTGAAATGACACACTCCATAAAATGTGAGTAAGTTTCCTAAAAAGCTTTGCTACTCTAGATCATGCAAACTCCAAAAAACCCTTCAACGTATTGAAACACTTACTCATGTAATAGGCATGTATTGAAATGTTTGTTGAATGGAATCTTCAGACAAGAAAATACCTTAAAAATCCTAAACAATACCACAATTGTATAACTTTAAATACTGTTCTTGTAAACATCCAGAATAAAAATTATTTTTCAGAAGAGCAATTTTTAGTATTTTACATTAAAAATACAGTGGTATGGTCCAAGATCATAATACAGTCCAACAACAGCATTTGCTAATTATTATACAGAAACAGTAGACAAGCATACTCACATTCTGCCAGACTTCCCATAAAAGGTGCTCCTATTCCATCTCTAGAATAACTGATAAAAGAATAAAAGATGGTGTTTATAAGTGGGTGAGTCTTAAATGTGTGTTCTCTCTCAAAAGTACATTTAAGCAATGACAAAGTTCTTGCTATGTTTCAATGCTATGTTTCGTCACAATCACCACAGGAAAGATCAAGTACTGATCTTTACAGCACAATGTTCTCCAAGTCTTAAAACCAAAAGCAAAACTAAGCAGAGATACCTTGAGAAATGCAAGTAGTTGGCAAAAGCTGAACCAGCCTGCAACAGTAACGCAACTGTCAACACCTTTAATACAGCATGCATAGGTCCACGCTTCTTAATTGTTTGCCACAGGGACTGTGCATATATGCAGGCAGTTATGAAGTACGCTAGGACAAGCAGGAAAAAGAATTCATGTAATCCTGTGAAAAAAGAAATACGGTTAGTTTTTATAAAGAAACATTGCTACTAGCAGTAAATAACTAAAACAAAATATGTTTTTTATATAATCACTGGGAAATACTTAGTTACTGTCACCCAAAAGAGGCAGTACAAGTAAACTCAGTAAATAAGAGCCTATTTCATCTAAAAAAGTCAGTGAATTTTTTCAGAAAGCTGATTATTGTTTGATCTGACAAAGTATTTTTTTATTCAACAATACCTTTTCTGAGTTTAGGAGAGATTCTGTTCAAATACAAATAGCTTTGCAGCAATGACTGAAATGGTATAAAATGTCACACAATTTCTTGATAAACAGAAAATAATTGTAGCCCGTTTGATCAGTTAGAAAAATATTTACTAAAGGATTCAATTTTAGCTCTTTTTTTTGGCTTCAGATTTTAAAGGCACAACCCGAGATGAGCAAAACTTCTGCTGAATCTATTTAACCACTGGGTGTCACTCTTCCTCCATGTAAAGTACTTAGTCCAGGAAGCACAGATGACTAAGACAGAAAACTTTAAGAAAAGAAAAACAGCACAGAGAAGAGTAAGTGCAGAGAGTGATTTTTTTTTTTTCACCAATCTGAAAAAAATGCCCAAAGTTTTAAATATTATTTACAAAACCAAAGTCATCTAACTTTCAGTCTGGCAGTAGTCTGGCAAAATGCTTCTGTGAAGACTTGGATTCTGGAAATCTTTTCTATTGTCCAGAAGCTTTGGAGCTCATCATATGAGCTCCCAAAGGGTCAAAGACAGTGAGCTATGAGCAAAAACAATTAAACAGAAGTTTCTCACAAAAAGCCCTTATGTTTTTCTTCTCCAGCTTTCCTTAAAACCAAGTGGTGTCCACAGAATCAGATTCTGAATAATGTTTTTCCTTTAGCAGCATAACAATTCTGCTAAAAACTTCAACCACTTCCACCCAGAGATTAGAAACAGAGCACTTTCACACATTTAAATATTTAAGCTGAAAAACATTAGAACTGGATGAGCTCTGAATAGTTGCTAGTACTGTAACTTCTATGGCTAAAATTAGTCTGCTTGTACATACATACAGTGAAATGGGAGAAAAAGAGCATAAGGTAATACTCATAAAACAAAAATTCCAGAGCCACTCTGCTTCTCCTGTGCACCTATACAAAAGCATGATTTATGACTGACAAAAATATTCCTTTTAGATCAAATCTCTTATTCTTCCTTTCACTCTTTATCTTTCTGCTTCAAAAGACACCCACTGAAGTTGGCAAGGATTCTGTAGATAAATTATTTCTCACTATGACAAGTGGGTACACATGGAAAACTCTTTATGAAAACCAACTAGCTTTTAATAAACACTAAACCATTTAGGATAGAAAACCCCTTCCAACCAAAGACAGATTGTGGATGATTGGCTTGAGACCAAAATGATTTAAGAGAAAGCTGCACTGAAATAAAGTTATAAAAAAAAAACAGAACAGTAATTTTCAACCTGTCTTTTTTAAGTTTCCTGACTTTGAAGTAACCTAGAGTTGACAGAGAAAATAAAACATATGTACCTTAATTTGAAATATCTAACTTCAAAGATCTTCAAAATGCTGTCTATCTGGTCAGCTGCCCTTAGAAATCCTACATTCCACTGGTACCATGTCTTCTGTAAAAAAACCTACCATATAAAATGATAAAAGATTACTTACTAGGGATCAGAAGCCAGGCCTCCTCCTCTCTCAAGGCAAACAATCACAAGGTTACAGTCTTAAGTTCTTTCTTACAGGCCATTTAATTTTGACATCTCTTGTGTCAGACCACAACTTCACTAACTAAAGTGAGGGGTGACCAAACTAGAACCATCTGGAACTATGTAGTTTTTAGTTGCCTAAGTGAAAGAACCAAAAAACGAAGTCGGATCTTTTCTTTGATGCCCTGATGTTCTATGCTGCACATTTCTACGGAAAAAGGACAAAAAATATTCCCTGAAGATGCATTTAAAAAGCAGAAGCAAAACCAAAAACAAGGAGAGAAAAAATCCTCCTCAGTTCTTTGAAAGTAGACACAGGCATGTAACTTCAGCATTCAAGGCAGCATTGCAGGTTTTAATTCTGAATAAACAGGGTTCCTCTGCAACCATGGAAGACACGGCATGTAAAGCTCATCCTGTTTCCTACTTGTTAGAGCTAAATACGTGCATCCAACACACTTATGTACCTCCTTGTTTGGCATGCAAGCTGTTCAGAGTTCTGCTTCCAAGTGTCTTCCTCTAAAACTAACATAGAGCTAAGATGCTTCTCTAGGAGGTCTGTACACAACTTTTAAGGGACACGTGATGACTTATAACTGGTTTGCCCCCTGATTTAGCAAAAGAATGCTACTACTGCTTTCTGAGAATAAGTAAATTAACCTAGAATTCACTTCTGGATACAAAATTCACCAAAAAATTGCCAACTATGTTTGGAGATTAACAAGCAGAGTTAAGACGTCAAAGAGACAGGTAAGTCAATATATAAGCCTTAAAAATGTATGATTAAAAGTGCTACTTTTTTACAGATCCTGCTAAATGTTTCAGTGAATATTTTCTTCCCTTCAGAAAGGGAGCTGCCTTTGTTCTCTATATCCTCTTGAGACCAAGAATGACAGCAGGGCACACGACTCTTAGCACAGCAATTAGGCTCATTCTGGGTATGTAGGTTAATTCTGTAGATGAAGACAGACTGAGCCTCTTGGGCTCTTCCCTTACAACAGACCTTGGGTTAGGGACATGTTGACAAGGCCTCCCAGAGCAGTGAAGCTAAGCACTGCAACGAAGCATGCATTAGGTTGGTTGTCCAAAGCATACAATTTTATGCAGGCATTTCTTCAGCTGCTTATCTTGAGTCACTTCTAGAAGTAATTTGCAGGTTTAAAGATCTAAAATTTCATTTCTTAAATAAAATAAAACCAGGACTAACAAGTATCTAATCTGTGGCCTGTGACTAAGATACACAGAAAGACCTAAACATTGACCTGAAACTGTAGTGGCAAAGTGTTTTATGATGCATATGTTAATGTCGCATGGAATCAAAGTTGACACAGCTAAGGAATTTCATTAACTCATTAAAATCAGGGATTAAATTCACTTTCAAGTGGAAGCTTACAATTTCAACATAGGAAAAATACCTATCAGCAAAGACATCAACACAAACTTTCCTTGTACATCTATACTCACAGTTAGACAAGTTTTGGAAAGTCAGTCTAAAGAAAGGATTTTTCTGTAATGCCAGAAAATGAATTAAAGTTCACTCTCTGTGAGGAAGTAGAATCTGAAATATAAGAAACTCTGCTATCCATTCCCCAGTGCCACACTTTTCCAAGCATAGTAAGTACTGATTTGTTTGGGTGATCAGATCCTTAACTTAAAAATCTAATTTTAAGAAAAAAAAATCTTACCAGATTCCCCTGCGCTAAAGTGATCTAACGGGTTCCCTTCTGCATCTGGGTTTAGTAAGACCATTTCAAACTGAATATCCTCGGATTCAGAATAATTCTCCTCGCAGGTAAACTTGTCTACATAAAACACATACCATGTTTCCGGATAAGGAATCTGGGACACTGTCAGATTTTGCTCTGTGTGGTTCACAGTCACTTTGTAAGAAAACAAACAAACAAAAAAAAGGAGTAAATACTCGATTAGTTTCTTTTCAGAAAACTCATCTTTGAATGAAGATAAAATTTAAACCCACAACATCACATACCAGTTATAAACTACATAGAGAACAAAACAGTCTTTGTTTTGAAAGCCAGCCATAACAGCAGAGACCAGACTTCTATCATTGCCTTCTGTTTCAAGCAGATGCAGGCAAAGGTTGGTGAGGATATGTGCCGCATTCCGTCTCTCAGCTTGTGGGTCCGCTGCAAGGGCTCCCTTCTGCCAGAAGCCTGTAACTGCAAACTGTGTCTCCTGTGCTGAGCAGCTTTCTGTCCCCTGGCACTGCACTGACGGGACCAGCTATTTTGTATTAGCCAACAGAGACTTCTGCAGTATGAAAAATACCTTTGTGAAATATTCTGCTCTGTTTTCAAAGATATTTAGAGCATATGTGAGCCTGGTAAACAACAGTGCATGCTTTCAAGGTGCAGTTTAGCATATTTCACAGCACCTTCCCCAAATCATAATAGACTGAATTTCAATTGACAGCTAAGGGCAGAGATCATTGTCTAATAAAATTGCATATTTCAAATCAGATTACATTTAAAACCAACTACGCAAGAGACTGAAGTTTCATCTGCTCACTGATCTCACCGCTACTTTTCCTATAAGCAACTGTTAACCAAGCACAATCTCTCAAAATAAACATTTGCTGCAAATGAAACCTGTGGCTCTGTATGCCTGGGTGAAACTGCAAGAATTGCAAGAGTACTGTTACACTGATTACTGAACTTGAGTGCTAATCAGCTGAACCTTAAAGTAAAGCCATCTCTGTAGAAGAAATAACAATATAATGACTGGACTGTAGATTAATTCACATTAATAAAATTCTACAAAACAAGCTATTTCTGTTTTTTATGCAAAGAACTTTCTAAATGAAAAAGCTGCAGTCATACATACAAAACAGCCCTTAGCAAACTGATTATCCCTAAATAAGTTGTAGGCAAAATTTAGAACCAATTTATAACTTGAAGCCTACCTGTGAAAAACATTTATGTAATTTAAATAATCTTGTTTCAACTTCAGTAAGTTATATTCTGTTCTCTGAAGGCATGAGCTGATCAACATTAGGATCCAGAAGACTCAGGAAGAACATATGATATGTCTCTTTGCAGCAATTGTCATGAAGTACAAATTTGGACAACATATGATCCAGACAAAATGGATGTTCTAACACAGGCAATGCGTCCTGTGGAGCTAATGGTAAGTGTGCACTCCACTCTGGAGCTATGTGTCTTAACAAGCAAATATACAAAGTGAAACAGATCCCTTCAAAACCCTGAGATTTTTAAAAACACAGTTTTAGGATTTCATAGGTGCTTAATCCAAACAAAAGGCAAACTGCTTTCGAGTGGGGTGCTTTACTCTCCATCTGTACTCCGAGTTCTGACACAGCGTTATTTGCATCGAGACCAAGGATCACACAGAATGTGTTTAATCAGTTTTTCATCAAATCTGCAAGTTAACTCACAGGAAATGAAGATAAAATAAAAATGTAATTGATTTTGCCCCATATCAGCAAACAGATCCAACTCACCCTGTGGTCATAGGATTCCTAAACACAGTAGAAAACAGCGAATACACTGTTGGGACAGACAGGAGTGACGGACCAACTGCTACTCATTTCAGCAGCACTTCATGTTCAGGTCAGATCAAGTGTAAGGGAATTACATCCTTAGAAGTGACATCTGTGTAAGATTTAGTTATGACAGTGTTCTAGGAGATCAATTAGTTACTTTAGAGATTCTGGCTGCACAGAGGAATTGCATTTAAAAAAGAAGTGCTATTCACTTAAGATGTGTTTGACTGCAGTTTCTTAACATTAACTTAATTTCTTACAGGAAATTTTATGCTTTAAGTAGGCTTTGTAATATTACCATTTAAAAAAGAAGTGCTATTCACTTAAGATATGTTTGACTGAAGTTTCTTAACATTAACTTAATTTCTTAAAGGAAATTTTATGCTTTAAGTAGGTTTTGTAATATTATGATCAATAAATGGTGCAAAAATTATTTCAGTATGTCTTCCAGTTACATAATTTAATGCTTCAATGTTTTACTGTTCTTTTAAATTTAGATGGACACTCAAGTTAATCTTTATCCTGTTTAGCTCATCTTTGATACCGTATTAAAATTTTTCTAACATGTTTTGTACATCAAACTGTGACAGGTTTGTGCTATCATGAAAATATTCTTTTATTTTTGTTTTCTCATCTTTGAAAAATGCTATTTCCAGGGAACTGGAGAACAGAAGCCCCCTGACAAATGAGAAATGTTCTTCATAAACAAAAGACAACAAGATAATCTGTATATTCTGTACCAGTATAATTAGATGCTCAAATATTAAAAATATTTGAATGGGAGATTTAGTGATGAATACCAAATTACAAAATTAAAGGGTGAAAGAACATTAAATCATAATGCAAGTTATAATGTAAGGCAGCATAACCCATATTAATTTTTGCAGATGACCCTACAGATTGGGTGGGTGGGGGGAAGCTCATGATTATGAGGTTGTGAAAGAAAAAAAAAAAAGGAAAAAAAAGGTTTTCAGGTACAAAATTACCCTTTTACTAAGTTCTTGGGCTACAGACTCCCACCTTAGAAGCATTCACTTCAGAAGTTGAGAGGTAACTGCAGCAGGCTACATCAGTTTGCCTCTATTTGTGTTAATTACATTGCAATAAGTCACAATTCAAACTATACATTTGACTGTCTCAAACATTTACATTCTCTGAGTTCTTCAGCTTCATCTTACGATGGTATTCTTTGTAAATTCTTTCACATACTTAATCTTTTTAATAGAAAAGTTTGAGATTAAAAAAAAAAAAAAAAGGAAAAAGACACTTTTGGTCTAAACAGAGTTAAAGAAAATCTCTGTACTGAATAAGTAAATGAAAACTCCAGCCAAACGTGCATCCTTTCTGAGTTGTGTCCAAGTGAGAGTGTGAGACCAGAACTGCTCATAAAGTTTGTTTGCATTAAAGTCATTATTTGTCAAGGATTGTTCATTTTCCAGCAGTATACTAACTCTTAACTTGCCAACAAAGTCTTCTGAAGTGATGCAAACAAAGTGATTATATTTCCTTGTAATCATTTTTAATTACCAAAGGCCGAAGTCCTGCTTTTACTTAAGTTGATGCAAAGTCCAAATTCACTGAAATAAATATTCTAAATACACAGATAACTTAACAGGTTTCTAAATACACAGATAACTTAATTTGTAAGGGGGAAAAAAGTAGCAACTCACTTGTCAGCTGAGCTTTAGAGAACTTCTCAGTACAGCTGTCATCTTGAATACTGTTCTGCAGCTTCTGCCATTCCTGTGCTTGAAACAGGTGAAGTCGAGCTGCTTTTGTCACAGCTACTGCTACGTTCTTGATTCTGACACACAGAACAGCATGGTCACCTTGATATTTAAAAAATAAAATCAACTTTTCTGCCTTGATGTCAATTACAAACAAAGTTAGATTTTTTTTATAAGTAGCAGCACTAAAGCTTCACTTTATTTCTTAAACTTTTACCACTACTTCCCATAAAAGTCTTTATGCTCTTTCAGAAGCAATTTCTATATAACTCATTAACACAATACTGCATGCACAATTCTCTGTGATGGTACTTAAACAAACCTTCACCATAACATGAATGTTATTAACCTCTACTGCAAGCAGCCTTCCCTCCCCTCTCTCTGTTTTTTTAATACAGACTTCCAGACAACCTTTTTTCCCCCCTTCCTCCTACCCCAAATTTTATTTTCTCAAGTTCAGGTAAAGACAGTGCCTCAATCAGTCTCAGTAACTGGGTGAAAGTCTAGGATTTTATGACCTTTGTAGCATGATTATGAGCATCATAGGGTAACTCTTGAGTCTAATACCAGAAGTAAATGGACCTTCACGTTATGGACTGATTAGAGCTAAAATATTTTATTAAAGATGACACATGTCAAATCGATACATAGAAAAATCAAACTTCAAAAGTGTTCTCTAAAGTGTCAGTCTGTGGATAGGCTGCATTTTGACATAGAGAAATACTGTAGCCATTTTAGAACTAGCTCATTTGACACAATTTGTCTTGTCTGGGTAATTCTGCAATCCTCAAACTTATTTTGATAAATTATTTTGTTATATATTGCCATACACTTCTTTACTTTAATGTAACAGCATTAAAAGATAGCATTTAACAGAGAAGAAAAATCAATCAGTACTGCAAGAGTACAAATTCATTCAAATTTAAGCAAGCTTTGAATGTTTTTTAACTTGTCAGAGCCATCTCCTTTTCCACCTAACCTGGGCACTAGCTGGATGTGAGTCAATAAATTACTACCAGCTTCAGATAAGGCTTTGCTGGGAAGGTCTGCCTGTTCAGAGCCACCTGCAAATTAGTGGTCCTGCAATAAAACCTCAAAAAAGGTGATCTTCTGGGATCTGTAAGATCTTATATGGACTACAATTTACCAGAATTGTTAAGAAAAGATTTTGAAAAATTAACAGAAGGTTCTAAAAAGAGCCCATATAGCTTCACTAAGACCCAAAATACATATAGTTGTGGGTATTCATACAGAAAGAAGAATATTTGTAAGGAAATACACATCACCAACTTGTAGAATAAATTATATCTGAACACCTAAACCATTCATCTTGAATCTTAACATTCTTTTATCAGATTTAAGCAGTGTACTTTTTTTCTTTAGATCTATTTAGAGTGCTTCTACAAGTATCTTCTAGGACAGTGACAATTAACTGCTTTCAAGTCACTCCACAAGCTATCCCCACCCTATCTGTTATCTCCCATTCAGTGCTAGAAGGTCACTAACTCTAATTCTAACTCTTCTTGGCTTATGTCACATTTTCCTTCATCCCATTAGATTTTTTTTCTTGCAAACATTGTTGTTTTCCTCTCACATTACTCCTCCAGTCTGGGAGGAAGCCTGTGTAAGTGTTATCTTCATGGTTGTCTTTTGAAGTATTCTGCAGAACTCTTCTGCCACGAAGCTAATAACTGAGAAAGAAAACAGTCTAACCTGTTGAAATGCAGAGCACACAGGAAAAGCATGCTGACCAGCACGGCCTCGTTGTGTATACGGCACTTACCACACTTGTGTAATGGCTTTGCTCACCCATATCTTAATAAATTGCATTTTAAATTTCTAATTGGACTCTGTGTCTAAATTGACTATTACACTTGCACAGACCTCTTTTTGCAAAGTAAAACTGTTGTAGCGAGGAGAGTAATTTCCAACCTGTGTTTCCACAGTGGCTGTTCTAACAGGATTCTATTGCTAGGCCTCTTAACTAACAGTCAGGAATTATTACTAACGAGGAGTTAATAACACAGGAAGGAAAAGCCATTGGGAATAATCAAGTGAGAATTTACATTCTGACGCACTAAAAAACTCCAGGGATGCGAAAGAGATGCACAATGTTAAGCATCGCTCTCGTTCGGCGGAGTTCCAGGAGG